GTGGTCCGTACGGTCCCTCGGCTCGTGTCCGTTGTCACGGTCCCTGTGTATCAGACGGCGTCCTGTTGTGGTCCGTACAATCCCTCGGCTCGTGTCTATTGTCACGGTCCCTGTGTATCAGACGGCGCCCTGTTGTGGTCCGTACGGTCCCTCGGCTCAGGTCCATTGTTATGGTCCCTGTGTATCAGACGACGCCCTGTTGTGGCCCATATGGTCCCTCGCCTCATGTCCATTGTCACGGTCCCTGTGTGTCAGATGGCGCCCTGTTGTGGCCCATACAGTCCCTCGGCTCATGTCGGTTGTCACGGTCCCTGTGTATCAGACGGCGCCCTGTTGTGTTCCGTACGGTCCCTCGGCTCAGGTCGGTTGTGGCGGTCCTTGTGTATCAGACGGGCGCCCTGTTGTGGCCTATACGTCCCTCAGCTCATTGTTTGGAAGTAGACTGACTGCCAAGTGTTTCTTCCTGGTCTGGGTTTGGCGTATGGCCTGGGACCTGTGCTATTTATTTTGCTGCTTAAGTAGCTCCAGCTTTTCCCATCGGGAACTCTTTCAGGTCGGCTTCCGTGTCCTTTGGACATTTTCCCTCCTGGCACTTCCCTACTTTTTGGCAATTAGAGAGACCCAGACTTATCCTGGGTGTTTCGTGCCCCTCCTGGAAGCGCTCGCTTGCCTAGGGAGCCCTGCTTTCTCTCGTTGGAGAGCAGCGTCAGGAACCAAGATACCCAGCCTCATCCTGGGTGTTCCCTGCCCCTCCTGGAAGCGCTCACTTGTCCTGGGAGCCCTGCTTTCTCTCGTTGGAGAGCAGCGTCGGGAACCGAGATACCCAGCCTCATCCTGGGTGTTTCCTGCCCCTCCTGGAAGCGCTCACTTGTCCTGGGAGCCCTGCTTTCTCTCGTTGGAGAGCAGCATCGGGAACCGAGATCTCGGGGCTGGTGTCTTCCCTGCAGCTAAGGTGCCCTCACTTCCGGGCCCTCTCAGCCGTCCAGTGTCTTTGTGAAAGTTCAGCCCTGTTTCAGCGTCCGGATGCACAGCAAGCACAAGCAGCCCCTGCCGGCCCAGCGCGTCCCTCGCCGCCCCCGTACCCCCCAGCTCCCTGGAGCTGTGTCTGTGCCTCCCACTCGCCACACGTGCTCCCGCCCCAGGGCCCTTACACGCGGTGTGCCTGCCACTGGCATGCCCTGTGGGCCCTCCCGATGGCGCGGATCTTGGCTCCAGACCACCTCAGTGTCTCAGAAGCCTCCTCCTTCCTCCCGCCCGCTGACTCCCACGTGCAGAGTAATGTAGCTTCCTGGATACAGGTAGCTGATGCTGGTCTGCCTGACTGCCCCAGAGCATCCCTCCGTGAGAGCAGGGACTGGAACCACACCTAGCACATAGTAGGTGCTCAGGAAATGTACTGAGTGACTGGGGAGGTGCATGCATGATGCAGTTGTTCCCATTTTTGGATGTAGAAACAAGAGGCTCAGAGAGACTGACTCAGAGTCACCCTGAGTGAACGGCAGGGCTCTGGTCCCAGCCCATGTGGTTGAGGAGCCCCAGTGGCCGGTGATGGAAGCCCTGGTCGGGGCCGTGCATCATGGCCTGGGGAGGGTAAGGCGCCCCCCTCCTGCCCTGACGGGCCCATAAGTGGGTGCAGCATTCCTTGTTGGGAAAGCGGGGTGAGTATACAGGGCTCAGCAGGGAAGATAGCCCCGTGTCCCTAGAGCCTTTCACTCCCAACTGAGATAGACCCTGGTCTTCTGGACTCGGATGAGAAGCCCCCTCCTGCTGGGACTTGGTGTAGGCCCATAGGGTATCAGGGCAGGGGCGGCAGCTCCGTAGAGTGTATCCCGAACCTCCTGGGGCCCCTTCTGCACTTGCATGTCTGTCTGCTGGGGTGAAGGGCAGAGGGAGTGTTTCCAAGACCCCTGTGTTGGGCACATCGCCGTCATCCCGGGAGCCTAGTGGGTGTGTCCAGACGCGACGCAGGTCTGAGAGTCCTGGTGGTGCCAGCCCCGTCCCTGGCGATCGCCCTGTTGGTCTGAGGCTATAGGCTGTGTCCAGCCCCGCCCCTGGCGACCCCCCTGTTGGTCTGAGGCTGTGTCTGTGGCAGTGTCCTGTAGCTGATGTAGCTGACGGGCTATTGTGGGTGTGGGGGCTGTGGCAGCTCGAGTTGGGGGGCCACATGCCTTGGCCCTTGGAACCCCGTCACCTGCAGACTGCTTTAAGCCTGACAGTGGTAGGTCACAGCACTGTTGGTAGATGGCCGGTTATGCTAGGGGCTGTGGGGTCTCTGTCCCCCAGATAGCTTACTAGGCACACCTCGGGCCCCTCAGAAAGCAGGACCCACAGGAGAAAACGCTGGGGTGCTGGCTCACTGACCTGCCCACTTGCTCCCCTCCTCACAGAAACCAGGCGATGCGGAAAAAGTTAATCTTGTACTTCAAGAGGAGGAATCACGCCCGGAAGCAATGGGTGAGTGCCCTACGGCCCCGCCTGCAACCCTGCCGGCCCCCACAGCTGGGTGTCCCTGGGTCCAGAGAGAGCGGGGCCGCGTCAGGCCACACCTGCGGCTGCCTCCCTGAGCGCTCAGGCTTTGGGAGAAGAGCCAGGGACGGTGAGGGGGCGGTGCCGGTGGAGGCTGCTTCCATGAAGCCAGGCTCCTTCTCCAGCCTGGGGGCCCTTGGCCAGTATCTCTGAGGTACCGCTGAGGGCGGCTGCTTCGGCACCCATCAGAGACAGACTGGGAAGGAAACACAATGGCCCGGGGGTGTCCAGGGTACACTGCCTCGCCCGTGCAGGGCTGCTACCTCTCGCTGGGACCATCTCTCGACCCTCCACCAGTTCTCAGAGCACCCTGCTCGTGTGTGGGGGCCTCGGGAGCTGGGGTTGGGTTCTGCTCCCGTCAGTGCCTGCACAGCTGCCCCTTGGGACCTGCTGCGTGTGTCGAGGACGAGGTCACAGGGTGCCCTTGGTTGGCACTCACACACAGGGTGGGCAGGATTCTGGGCACGAGGACCAGGGGGCGCTTTTCTGAAGGTGCCGGAATGTTGCTTGGGCGTTCAGGCGAGACCCGTGGAGCATGCCATCTGTTCAACTGCAGCTGCTCCGGACAGGAAACGGGCTCTTGTGGGCAGCCAGATGGCCCTGCCTGCTCAAGGCCCACGTCACCTTGGAGACGCAGAGGCCAGGTGGTGTGGGGCTGGGGCAGGGTCTCGCCTGTGAGGACGGATACAGGCTACAGCAAGCAACACTGTGGTTAGACATGGACGGGGACTTCCCTGCCTTGGACAGCTCACAGACCCTCTCCCTCAGGAACTGCTCCTTGGTGTAGTGAGCCTCGTCGAGGCCGGGGACTGAGGAGCCGCTCTGAGGGCGGGTGCGTCCCGAGGGCAGCCATCGGGCCCTCTGGCGCCCCAGCAGCCCTTCACTCGCTGTGGACGTGCTCTCTGCATGAGTGACAGCCACCAGCATATGTGGCCACTGAGCTCTCCCAGCAGAGCAGGACATGGCATTTTTAATTTTGGTTAATTTCACGTGATTAGAATTTAACAGCCACCTGCAGCTGGTGGCCTCTGGGTGGGGGAGGGCTTCTCTGCAGGGGCTGGGGTGGGGGCCAACCTAGGCGTCTGGTTCCTCAGCGGAAGGTGGCCAGGGCCCTCGGGGCCTGTGGCTTTTCTTCAGGACCCTAGGCATGGCTTGTGCCAGGTGTACCTTCAGGTCGGCCAGGGCTGTGCTCACCAGCCTCTGTGTGACTGTGTGTGTGCGTGTGGCCTTTTGTGTGACCATGTGTGCCTGTGTGTCTCAGCCAGTCTGTCCGCTTAGGTGATTGTGTGTGTGTGTCTGGCTGTGTGTTACTTTGTGTGACCTTGTGTGTCTGTATGTGCCTGTCTGTATGCAAGTGTTGCACGAGTGTGTGAGTGAGTGACTGAAGAGTGCGTGCCAGGCTGGGCCTGGACGGGAGCTGGTGTCCGGGGAGCGGCTTGCTCAGGGCCCTGCCCACACTCACCCAGGAGCAGAAGTTCTGCCAGCGCTATGACCAGCTCATGGAGGCCTGGGAGAAGAAGGTGGAGCGCATCGAGAACAACCCCCGGCGGCGGGCCAAGGAGAGCAAGGTGCGCGAGTACTACGAGAAGCAGTTCCCCGAGATCCGCAAGCAGCGCGAACTCCAGGAGCGAATGCAGAGGTGAGCGGGCGGCCTGGCCGCCCCCACCCCACAGCGGCCGGCGCCGCCACCCCTCCTGCTCCTTTCCCTCGGCTGATGTGGGTCGGGGCCTGGGTCAGCTTTGCAAGAACTGTCAGCAGGGCAATGATAGAAGGGCAAGAGCAGGGTCTCAAACTGCTGACCCAGGGGCTGGGCCGGCCCTTGGGTGTGTCATTTGGGACCTGCACGGCCTTAACATGTTTGGAACTTGAACACATGTAGGTGGGACGGGCACTCCTCCTGGAGTGCCGTGGGCTTGTTCCGGCCAGCGTCATGATGTGGCCAGTGTGGCCCCTGAAGGCAGCTGTTTGAGATCCCTCACAGGGCCACAAAGGGGATGGGCCCACAGTGCTGGGTTCACCTGTGCAGAGAGCCTGGTGCACAGTAGGTGCTTGGTGCGGTAACTTGCCCCTAGCCTCGTCGCCTTCTTTGTTCACAGACGAGGCGCGAGTGCTTCATTTACAGTGACAACAGCTTGTGTTGTACTGAGCACTTTTCAACCCATATCTTGTTGAGCTCGTCATAGTAGCTCTGGAAGCTGGGTACCCACGTTACAGGGAGGAAACCAGGTCCAGAAAGTAACTTTGCCGCAGGTCTGAAGAGGCAGAGCTGGGCTTTGCAGCTGGATCTGTGTGGCTGGGTTGTTTCGGGATCCGTCCTTTGAGGGCTGGGGTCCTGGTGTCCCTGAGACAGGACCCTTCAGCATGGGGCCATCCAGTGGTCTCTCTGATTCCCCTCAACACACCCAGCCTCTGGGGACAAGGGGCAGGTCCTCAGTGCTCCCTCTGGCTGGGGTGATGGGCAGGTCCTCCCCTCTGTGTTCCCTCTGTCTGGGGCAATGTGTGGGTCCTCCATGCTCCCTCTGGCTGGGGCAGTGGGCAGGTCATGGTGTTCCCTCTGGCTGGGGTGATAGGCAGATCCTCTGCTCAGTGCTCCCTCTGGTTGGGGCAATGGGTGGATCCTCCATGCTTCCTCTGGCTGGGGTGATGGGCGGGTCCTGGTGCTCCCTCTGGCTGGGGCAGTGGGCGGGTCCTTAGTGCTCCCTGTGGCTGGGGTGATGGGCGGGTCCTGGTGCTCCCTCTGGCTGGGGTGATGGGCCAGTCCTTGATGCTCCCTCTGGTTGGGGCAATGGGCAGATCCTCCATGTTTCCTCTGGCTGGGGTGATGGGCGGGTCCTGGTGCTCCCTCTGGCTGGGGTGATGGGTGGGTCCTGGTGCTCCCTCTGGCTGGGGTGATGGGTGGGTCCTGGTGCTCCCTCTGGCTGGGGTGATGGGCGGGTCCTCGTGCTCCCTCTGGCTGGAGTGATGGGCGGGTCCTGGTGCTCCCTCTGGCTGGGCCAGTGGGCGGGTCCT